TTCTTATTCACTTCATGTTTGATTACATCTGTAGTGAGTCTACTGGCTTGCAAGTTCTTGTTGCCTGCCCACCCACGCTTTGAGAAGATAATGATTTCCTGGCATGTAGGGGAGTCGTAAGCAAGCTTCTTGTCAAGTTCTTGACATTTCAGTGCTGTGGGTAATGTACTGCCTCCTTCAGGACCGCGAAGCATCTGAGGCAGCAGATGCCCCGCTGACAAGGCGAGAGTTCATTTCACTGCTAGTGCCAACGCCCACAAACAGTGTACTCCGGTGTCAGGTGAGTCCTTTGCGTTGCAGTTTGCCTTCACTGTGATGGCCGATGGGGTGTTTTGTAAGTCCAGGTAATTACTCACACGCTGACTTGGGTAGTACACGTGCCCACTCTGTCTGTATTGAAACTTATCATGTTTACACACGGCGGGTTTACCCCGGTCTAAGTCAACTCATGGTCGTGTTCCTCTGTTCTTTCCCCGGCATGCACAGGGTATTAACTTGGCAAGGGCCAATCTGAGTAATCTGGACCTGCACTGCATCAACTTCAAACAAGCTAATCTACGTGGCTGTGATCTGCGCAATGCCAATCTGGAAGAGTGTTGCCTGAACAAAGCGGACTTGCAGAGGGCTAATCTTGATGTAAGTCGTTTTAGAACAAATTGGAAGCATTTCCAATTCTTCAATGCAGTACATGCATCTGCGCAATCCACACCAGTCCAAATGAACATTAGGACATTTTAGAACCAAACGTTTTCATTCCCTTCTCTTCATGGTCTCTTACTCTTACTCTTGTGCATTTTGTTGTACTTATGGGGCCTCAAAGTTCAGAAAATTGCGCTTTTCGTACTTTCAAGCGGCCATAAGTACAACAAAATGCATACGTATCCCCCATGTGAATATCATTTCTGGGGCATATGCATGCTGGAGAACAATTTAGAACGGAGAAAACAGCACTTCTTCCGTGGAAAAGTTTTTTCATGGTCAAAGTGGTTCGAGCTACCTTTAATTAAAAGCCTTTTTTGCGTGCATATTTCCAAGCAAACCTGCTTGTGGACCAAGTTGGGTGCTTTGTGCTGATGCCAAGAATTGTGTGTACTGACTGCATTGTGCAATGAAGCTTGGCTTGAGAGATAGCCGTGAATACACTGTACCATATTTCTTGGAATAAGCCCCACGGAGCTGGATGTTTCCAGATTCTTTTGAGGCATGGACCTTGTTACAGACAGGGGCTTATTTTAGGGAAGGCCTGAGGTCGCAAATTTTTCAGTTCCATATAACACCTCGCACTTCACCATCATGACGTGACTTTGTCATTACTGTTATTTTGCATCATCCTGATCCTTGTATCAGCAAGAAAGATCGGGTTACTTTGCAAGAACTTGACTATTTCAAGAGAGCTAAAAAGTTTTTTTTTGCGGATGGAATTAATAGGCCGAGCATAGCTTTGTTGCTCACTGTGCATGTGCACTCTTGTCCTTGTTGAGAATGTTTTAATGCTGACCGGATAATGGTTTTGGCTGTTGTTGTTGTTGTTGTTGTTGTTGTTGTTGTTGTTGTTGTCGTCGTCGTCTTTGTTGTTTTCACCTAGGGTGCAAACCTGCGCTGTGTTAACATGGTGCGAGCAAATTGTGAGTCTGCCACCATGCGAGGTTGTGATTTTGAAGACCCGCTTGGGAAGAGTTCGAATTTGGAAGGTCAGTACGTGTGTGTGTAGGCATACTATGTTGGTGGAGGAGGGGAGGGATGGGGGGGGGGGGGGGGGCAATGAGTAACGGGATCACAGATAGGAAATAGATCACGGTGTACTTTCGTCTCACACTCGTTCTCAGCTGTGTGTGTGCGCGCGCGCGCGCGTGTGTGTGTGTGGTGTGTGCGTGCGTGTGTGTGGTGTGCGCGTGTGTGTACGCGTGTGTGTACGCGTGTGTGTGTGCGCAGGCGTGCAGTGTACTGTAATAGAGTACACTATCCGCTTTGTTCGGTTTAGTTTTTTGATTGTAGCATTATTTTCTTACATCATGTCGTGAACAAAGTTCAAGAATTCCATAGTGAATAAATGTCGTGCAGACTCACATCTACTCTGTTGGAGTGAACATTACATACATACCTGATTTAATGAATTGGCAGCTCCCGTGTTCTAGCATCATGTATGCGCGCATGCTCGTGTGTGTGTGTGTGGATGTGTGGGTGTGGATGTGTGGGTGTGTGTGTGTGGGTGTGGATGTGTGGGTGTGGATGTGTGGGTGTGGATGTGTGGGTGTGGATGTGTGTGTGGATGTGTGTGTGGATGTGTGTGTGTGTGGATGTGTGTGTGGATGTGTGTGTGTGTGTGTGTGTGTGTGTGTGTGTGTGTGTGTGTGTGTGTGTGTGTGTGTGTGTGTGTGTGTGGATGTGTGTGTGTGTGGATGTGTGTGTGGATGTGTGTGTGTGGGTGTGGGTGTGGATGTGTGGATGTGTGTGTGGATGTGTGTGTGTGTGGATGTGTGTGCAGATGTGTGTGTGGATGTGTGTGTGGATGTGTGTGTGGATGTGTGTGTGGATGTGTGTGTGTGGGTGTGTGTGTGTATGTGTGGATGTGTGTGTGGATGTGTGTGCAGATGTGTGTGTGGATGTGTGTGTGGATGTGTGTGTGGATGTGTGTGTAGATGTGTGCGTGGATGTGTGTGTGTGCGGATGTGTGTGCGGATGTGTGTGTGGATGTGTGTGTGTGTGGATGTGTGTGTGTATGTGTGTGTGTGTGTGTGTGTGTGGATGTGTGTGTGTGTGGATGTGTGTGTGGATGTGTGGGTGTGGGTGTGGGTGTGGGTGTGGATGTGTGGATGTGTGTGTGGATGTGTGTGTGGATGTGTGTGCAGATGTGTGTGTGGATGTGTGTGTGGATGTGTGTGTGTGGATGTGTGTGTGGATGTGTGTGTGGATGTGTGTGTGTGTGGGTGTGTGTGTGTATGTGTGGATGTGTGTGTGGATGTGTGTGCAGATGTGTGTGTGGATGTGTGTGTGGATGTGTGTGTGTGGATGTGTGTGTAGATGTGTGCGTGGATGTGTGTGTGTGCGGATGTGTGTGCGGATGTGTGTGTGGATGTGTGTGTGTGTGGATGTGTGTGTGTGGATGTGTGTGCGGATGTGTGTGCGGATGTGTGTGCGGATGTGTGTGCGGACGTGTGTGTGGATGTGTAGATGTGTCTGTGTGGATGTGTGTGCGGATGTGTGTGCGGATGTGTGTGCGGATGTGTGTGCGGATGTGTGTGCGGATGTGTGTGTGGATCTGTGGATGTGTGTGTGTGTGTGGATGTGTGTGCGGATGTGTGTGCGGATGTGTGTGAGGATGTGTGTGAGGATGTGTGTGAGGATGTGTGTGCGGATGTGTGTGCGGATGTGTGTGCGGATGTGTGTGCGGATGTGTGTGCGGATGTGTGTGTGTGGATGTGTGTGGATGTGTGTGTGGGTGTGTGTGTGTGGGCGGGTGTTTGGATATCTTTGCTCAGGCGCCAACATGAAGCACTCCATCCTGGAAGATAGCCACATGTCTGGTGTGGTGCTGCGTGTAGCCTGCTTGCGCAATGCCTCACTCAGGCGCTGTGACCTGCAAGGCGCTGTCTTGGCTGGCACTGATCTCGAGGTAACAGTTTAAAAGTTGCAGATGACGCCGTGTATTTTGTGGCTGCAGTCCTCTTTGTTCGTGTACGCAATGATCGTACAGTCCTTAGAACGTACTTCGAAGTATTCACTATTCAGTGCTGTGCAGGAGTAATGTGTACATAGCATGACTAGATGCAGACTGTCACATACAGAAAAGCCTCTTGAACGGGTGAAACTCAAAAACAGTGTTGCACAATCAAGTACACATGGATGTCAACAACTAAAGGAGAAAGGAGCGCCACTGCTCTGAATCTGTGCCACATGGACCTGCACTGCTAAATAGCCGTCTCGCAACTTGTTCGATGTGTGCGCCAGTGATGTCAACGTGCTCCAATGGTGGCAGTTCGTCTGCATGGACAAATGCCTGGTGATTAGGTGGCTGCTGGGCGGGGTGCTTCTCTTGGAGGATCTCAAACACCGACTTCCCCAAGGGCCGGCCCTGTCTTTCCATGTGCCTCGTCAGCAGGGTCAAGCACACCTCCACCATTGCGCTCCGTAAGCAGACGGACTGCGGATCGGACTCTTCCCTGCAGCATCAGGTGGGCAAAGGTCCGTTCAACTTTAGTGGTTGCCATGGGACTCGAGACAGAGATGAGCTGTTGATCACAGTGCTCGGCTTCACGGAGAAGTTCAGACAGCTGACCGGCTTCCCACATGTCCATCGCCGAGTCAGAAGGGGACGGATGTCCTTCGCCTTGCGGATCATTTTGTTGTGCTGCAAGACCAAAGCTGGGAAGATGAATTCTCTCTCGGATGATTGACGCTTGGAATTGCATCGTTCGATTTCCTCGCCCAGGATATTACTGAACCGTGCGCCAATATTTCCATCAGGAAGCTCATACTGCTTCCCCCTGAGAGCTACTGTCTTCCACCACAATGAGCGAATGTCAGAGTTAGGCCCACCCTCACTGTTGACCAAGGGAGCCCTGAACGCCTCTTGGAATTTGGCAGCGAGAAAAGCTTCGCCACTGTCCCCTGCACTTGGCTCGGTTGTTCACGGGAGCGGTGTTTGTGAGTCTCCAATCGACGCCAGGAGTTCGGCATCCACTCGCAGAAATGAGCCCAGAGTACCGTCATCTTTTCCTACCGTTGGCTTACCTGCACCGGTGGCAGTTGGTACGGTGATGTTTCGAACCAAACGTTGTGGCAAGGTAGGACAGGAAGAAGAGATGCAGGGAGTTGCTGCAATGTCAAACTCGTTGGATGAAGTGGTGGGCAAACGAGGAGGACACGGCTTGAGAGGAGCTCTCAGTGCGGCTCTGCTGGTTGCTGCACCGGTCGTTAGTGCCGGGCACACAACCCTGGCAACTGCGTCCGAGGCCAACACAGGAACAATTCGTACAAGGTCTGTGTTTGTTGCAGGCACAGCACTTCACTTTATCTCGCTTTCTTATTCTCGGGCCGGCGTAGGGCTGATCATCGATCCTACTGTACTGTTGGAGCTATAGCAACAATCTAACTTCTAAGCTGCCCGCTTGAGTTTTGAAAACCCCAGTGTAGTCACTGGAAGACTCCATCACGGGCAGGGGCGTAGCAGCCGGTCCGGCTTTGGCCGGACCACTTTTTCGCCCAGAAGTGCCCAGAATGCAGGATTTTGCACCCAAATTTCAAAATTTTCCCGGGGGACACCCCCAGACCCCCTCCAACCGGACCACCTCCAACGGCAGTGCTATGCGCCTGACGGGAGAAGTAAAATTTGCTTCCGCGCTCTAGCACGATGTCATAGTTCTGTCACCGACTCGATGAAACATGTTACTGTAGGAGTTGAATCTCTAACGGGGCTTAAAAAGCTAAAAGATTCAGTGAGAAAATCCTTGAGAATCAAGTCTCAACAAAGCTTTTTTGAAACTTTTAAAAGATCTATTCTTTCTCTTCTCTGTACTAGAGGAATAAAGGACAGGTGTCTGATGGCAGGGATCATAGGACGGATGTCTGATGGCAGCGATCGTTAAACGCTATGCCCGCAAAGTGGAACTTTTGCAATCGTTTAATTACTTTAGATTAGTTTAGATGCATTACACTGTCAAGTCTTAGAGTAACGTTATCTCCAAGTCCAAAGCTTGCTACCTGGTATACCCACTATACTGTATCAGAGTGTGGTGGCCATGATTAGTTCTTTTAAAGGAGTACACTGAGGTAGATCTACACTGAGTAGTCGAGTACCCGCTCGCTCAGTACATGTACTCGACTCGAATTCGAAAGCTGACTCGATACTCGATAACATACGTGTATAGTGCAAGAATGTTTGCTGCCGGGGACTTTTCTGTTTAATACAAACTGACAAAGTCAAATGAGGTAGTTCTTTCTGACAAAGTCAGAGCTGTGCTTCTGTTACTGGAAGTTTCTACCAAGTAGTTATGTAGATGCAAGTGAGAGAAAAAAAAAGAGGTTCCGATAGAGATGATGTCACTGCCTTCGAGAGAACTAAGAAATCCACCCTACTGAGTTGTGACTGTGATGAGTATTGCTGGTGGTACTATAAAACACGTAATTTTCAGTGTAACTTTAATTTCGGCGATTTCGGTAGAGAAACCAGGCACCTAAATTTAAATTACACCTAAAAGGCAGTAGAGTATGCACTGTATGTGAAGGGAATGCTGGTCACCTAATTCTAAATTACACTTGAAACCTGGCAGGTCTCTGGCACCGAAATTTCAATGCACCTAAAATTACATGTTTTACAGTATTTACCTAACCTTCCTGTGAACCTGTACTCCCTGTACCGCTCGTAGTCACGCACGCCGTCTGTCTGACATCGCCATGCCTGGAGGGGCAGACATGTTTTTTCTGTATTAAATATGAAATCCAAGTGGGAAATGTACCGGGCATTTAAAGATTCTAGTCGGAGACAAGGTAGCAATCGTTGATAGAAACTCAGCCAATCGACAAACAACAGACACCGATTTGTTTCGACAGAATTGTATTGAAGATGTTAGTATATGTTGTGTCTATTGTGTTTCCATGCCAACTTTGCCAAGCCCATTGATTTTTGAGTGGCAGTGCAGAGGAGATCATGTTGCATTCCGAATGTTTTCCAAGGCCGCTATGACCTGCCTTGTTGAAGGAGGCCTGCAAAGACATGCTCCACACCTGTCCCTGGCCTAGCAATGTCCCTAGTAGGCTGCGTGTAGAGTGCCACAGTGTGATGATCACTGTGATAGGTGCTGTAGCCAGGGCCATGGTGATGGAGTGCAATAGAAAACATGCCCCCCCCCCCCCCCCCCCCCCCTGTAGCTGACCAAGTGTTAATTAAATGTAGCATCATGGAGAAAAGGCTGCACTGTATTCGTTATTCGTTATTTTTTCCTCTGTTTCCCCGTGTTCCGTCATGCAGAACTGTGACCTCACTGGCAGCAATCTACGTGAAGCCAACCTCCGCGGCTCTAACTTGCGAGGTACAATACTTGAAGACATGCAATCGCCCCTTCATATGTCACAAACAGTCACATGATCATTTCCAAATGACATCATTTACATTATGGATGACATCACTTCATATGTCACAAACAGTCACATGATCATTTCCGAATGACATCATTTACATATGGATAACATCACTTCATACCTAACCCTTTATACCAGAGTCAGACAACTTTATATTAATTCATCAATCCCACTCTGGATGCACGCAATATCCTCAACCCGCTGATCCTCGCTTCATGATGGCCTGCATAGCATTCAAATAGCCGAATGTACAATGTAGGATGATGCCCATTGTTAACACACTGCTTGACCTGTTCCGTATTCCACTAGACCGTCTTTGCGTGAATATTATATTTGTGTATCCTGCTATTTCGTCTGTATTACATGTGCTGTTTTGTGTCCTGTGCAATTTAGCCGGTTTTCTATGCTTCCGAACCAAAACGGCACTACGTTGCACATGTGTGTGGTAGCATTGGCGAGTGTAGGTTTGCCATTGTCTGAAGAAGGGAAGGGTATTCATTTAGGAGTCGTTTGCTCCAAGCCATTGATTATGTGCACAGGTGTTTGTGCTGCGTATAACAAGTCACCCTATTGCGTGTGTGCGGTTATAGTGCGCTTCAAAAGTCCCGACCTCTGGTTTCAAAAACTGTTAGGCCAGCATCGATACCGCATAAAATCTGTGATAAAAAAAGTAAATTTCCGAAATTGGGCGTTTGTTATCCAATCGCTTAGAAATTTATATGAGAAAAATTGCGTGAGCTGCCTGAGCAATATTCCGAAGAAATTTCTCAAAAAGCTCCAACCAAATTTGAATTATTCGAAAAGGTCTAGAGGTCTACACTTTTGAAACGCACTATAGCTGTTTCCACTTTGCCAGGTCTCATCACCATAGCTCCGAGTGCACTGGCCAGACCAATCATCACCATAGCTACGAGTGCACTGGCCAGACCAATCATCACCATAGCTACGAGTGCACTGGCCAGACCAATGGCAAAGAAAAGAGCCTGTCTCTTTGTAGTGAACAACAGGGTATCCATGCAGCAGTTTCATGTGTACGATTCGTACATAGGGTAGGGCTTAACACTCTGCAGAGCAGGTGTATGTAGGGGGATTGTTCCACCTTGCAGCCGGGCAGAATGGGAATCGGCAAGGATATGCGGTGCAACTCTGATAACTTGGTCATATGACCACAATGACGTACCCCATGCGGCCGACAACAGCAAAGTGCAAGTCTTGTGGAGAAGCAGGTATGTATAGGATATTGCATCTTATCCAACACATTTCAACATGGAGCAATGCACCTGTGCCCCCCCCCCCCCCCCCCCCCCCTGATAATGTGTACTACATGTATGTATGATGAAGAAAGGAAAAGGACAAAATGTTACGAGTTATGACATTTTGTCCTTTTCCTTTCTTCATCATAACTATTGGCTCACCATCCGAGTCAAACATGTACTTGTATGTACAATGTATGTATGTCATCAATATCAGTGTTTGACTGTTTGTAGGAGGTGAACTCCACTGTACATGCAAGTGTATGGACTGGGGCTTTTCTGTAGAGAATTATTTGCATGCTGCAGCTACCCCTGGGTACCCAGTGTGGGGTACCCCCAACTGTACTGACATAGCTCTGGGAGCCGGGAGCTCAAGAGGGTTGGCTGCACGAGGTAGCCATGCAGCCTGGGATGCTCTTGCTGCTTCAGCCTCAGGCTGTGCTGTAGCGGTGTAGACATTCTTGCACGTAGACGTTCTGCCTTGTTTCTGTGTGGAATTTTAAGTGGCTTTTGTGACTTCAAGTAGTCCAATGGCATGCATGATGGCTGCATCATGCCTTCATGGATTATGGCTGCATTATGCCATCATGGATTATGGCATGCATGATGGCTGCTGCATCATGCCTTCATGGATTATGGCATGCGATCTGCCCCGTGCCCAGCTAGCTAGCCCGTGCATGCTGCCACAATGCCCAACAGCCACAAGGCCCTGAGCTGAGCCGCATAGCGAGGAAGCAATTTCCATGAGCAAAGTGAGGAAAGCTTCATAGTGAGTACATTTACATGTACAGGCAAATGGACACTTGGTACTCCCTAGACTAGAGTCCTGTACTCACAAGATTGGGAAGTGTCCGATCCAACAGTACAGCAGTACAGCAGTGCCCCTCCTTGATCATACACTAACTACATGTAACATGTACTTGTACATGTTACATGTAGTCACAACATGTACAGTGTAGTTACAATCAAGAGTACAAGCTGCCTTGTGTTCTCTTGCTACTATAGCTGTATTATAACCTTACTTTAATACTACAGGTTTTTTTCCCTACTCCCTCACTGGCCTCAGTCCTTGCTACTAAGACACTGCGGTATGTAGACGGAGGGGGGGGGGGGGGGATCAACGATGGTACCCCTGGTACTTTGTAGCACAACGCTCATCTTTACAGCAATGTCAATACAATGCATGCCATGACTTGACCACTTGATTCTCATCATCATTGCTGGTAATTCCTTTGGAATTTGTGAAAAGAATGTGCAAATTTGCACATTCCTTTTAAAAATTCCTTTGGAATTCCTACATTGGATTTGGAGGCTTGTTGGACTTTTAAATTTGGGATATCAGCCCAAATGATCCCAAATCTCCAAATCCTACAAGATTTAACACTCAAAATTCACCCCCAAAAGGGGAGATGCGCCTTATACTCCGATGATCAAACTAACGGTGATAAAATATGATAGACGTCGGTATGCGGCGTGGCCCGGCAAAAATGGGGGTGCGACTTATACTCCGGAAAGTACGGTAGGTAAAACTCGGATTGAGAGCCAAGGATTAAAGTGAAAAAAGAAGGACCAAAGTTTACAAGTATTAGTTATCCGTTGTTTGTGCCCAACACTATGGCTGTGTTTGTATGTATGGCTGTGTTTGTATGTATGGCTGTGTTTGTATGTATGGCTGTGTTTGTATGTATGGCTGTGTTTGTATGTATGGCTGTGTTTACATGTATGGCTGTGTTTACATGAGAAATTTCCACCCGGTCGAGTTCAGCCCGGGCTGAAAGACTGTACGATAGACAAAATAGGTGAGCGTTTACATGCAGACAGTTGACCCGGGTCAAATACTGATATGCCGCCAAAAATCCACTTCTAGAGTCCTGTATGGTCACGTGAATCCGTTCGCGCGAAATTTGCATATGCTGTGCTGTTCAAACCTGGCGCGAGATACGCACAGACGATTTTCTTGACCTGGGTTGATTTCAACCCTTCCCTTGGGGGGGGGGGGGAGGGTTGAAATCAACCCGGGGCGAAATTTCAACCCGGGTCAAGCGCAATGCGTCATGTAAACGCGCCATTCATTTTGTGTACATGGCGGGTTGAAATCTGACCCGGGTCGAACTCAACCCGGGTTGAAACGCCTCATGTAAACACAGCCTAACAAATACCAGCGGTGAGTCAGAACGTGCAACAATTAGCACAACAATGACTGATGCAGGTGTTGAATGTCAGTATCACATCAGTCAGTGTTGTGTTAATTGTTGCACATTCGGACTCACCCGTATCTTATTTATAATTTTGTTAGTGTTATTTATGATATCCTTATTTGAAGTTGTTTGGCTTGTGCATATGTGTACATGTATCTGTGCCTTTTACACTATCCATAAAAGGTTCCATTAGGTCCCCAAAGATTGTTGTATCCATATTTAGCTGGTTATCTTTGAACACAGGCCAAATAAAGGTAATCATACTGAATACTAATACATGTAATATGGACACGCAATGTCGTGCCCAAATTTGGATGTTATTGCCCATGTTAGATGTTTGCAATGTTCAGAAGGTGGCAAGACTGCCTGTACTGTAGCTGTCTCACTGAGACGGCATCGGGGAGTCATACCCAAACCATTGCCTTTCAGTTTGGGTATGACTCCCAACTGTTACTTGGCAAGTGATGAGTGTACAGGAACATGGATGAGTACCTCACCTGCAATGTTGGCCTGCACATTTCCTCAGTCCTGTTTCACACCTTTCCTTGACAGCAACTGAACATACGGATGAACTCAAAGTTCAAGTCTTGTTGAAAATGGATATTTTAAAAGATCATCATAGCGGCATTTCACTACTGAAGTCTGTACGAGCGGGCCACTGGTAGCACGTGGCTAAGTCTTTATGTCTTGAAAGGCTGCACCCCATATTCCATAGCATAGCCAGGCCATGTAGATCTACAGACCCGGCTAACAATCTTCAGAGGAAATGATGAGTTACATCAGTTACATCAGGGAGTAGATCTACGAGTTCTACTTCTTTGGTTTGCGGGTTTGTGATGGGAAATCAGGGACGGTAATCAGTGCAGCCAAGACAAGACAAGAGTTCATAACCCCCTAGCGGCCCAGCATGGCCTATGCCTATGGAGTTATGAACTCTTGCCAGCTCTGTGCATGCATGCAGCGTGCCCAACCCGAAGAGTTTTAGAACTGAACAGACTGAATTGAAGACTGAAGTAAAAATAGTTCTCGTTTTTTTAGGAAGAGGGGACATGTTGCTTGTTAGTGTCCATGGTGACCCCGAAACCAAAGTCCCGTTTCCATGTTCCATGGTTTCTACACGAGCTTACAAAATACAAGCTGCTATGTTCATCGCCTTACCTAGCCTGTAGCACTATTTCGGCTTTTTTTCTGATTCGGTCCGCCGACTCCAAACGTCGTTGACTATTCCATCGTCTTCAGCGTCAGTGATGCTCTACTACTACTCGGTGCGTGGGTTTTCGTAGCGCCCTGTGATCATCGCGTCCTGTGATCATCGCGGTGTTGTTCTTCTATTCTATGTGGCGGACGGTGGAGTTGCAGGTGATGTACATGTATGCAGGCAAGATAGGAAACTTCACAATTCTCAACTCCAAACAGGCAAGAGTACAATCATACACCGTTTTGTACTCTTGTCTCTTGATGCAGGGATACTGCGGATAGGGATAGGAGTCATATCTACACTCTAGCTCCGTAGTAGACTACACGGTGTACGATGGACTGAAGAGTACAGTCAACTTCGCTATTAACGACTGCGGATATAACGACAATTCGCGAATAACGACAGAATTTCCATGCCCAGAGCAAAGTCCCATCCAACTGTAATACATATAATGGGACTTTGGGTATAACGGCACTTCGCGAATAAGGACACTTTTCTGATGCCCCACCGAGTGTCGTTATACGCGAAGTTGACTGTACATAAACCGGTGTAGTACTCTTGCTAATGGTACATGACTATAATACAAAGACAGTATGACTTTACATGTACATGTACATTAAATTTAAAAAAATCACGGGTCGCGTGAGACTCCGCTGGAAGCCGAGTTTTCCGCATCCGCCGTGGGAACGCCACCACTCTCTAGGATCAAGGTGCAGATGCAGCAGCGCCTAAACGGTACATGTACATGATAATGATAAATGTAGCTACCATGTC